GGGGGGGGGGGGGATGACCAGACTATGTCTTGTTACCAGAGCAGCCTTCCAGTGCCTGACTAGTTTATCTTCCCATATTTATTGGACATATATGACACACCAGGCACATATAAGTTATATCACTTGTCAAATGAATGAGAATTGGCCAAAGGATGAGGGATCATGAAATAAAGAAACAGAAAAAGAAATTTGAGTTTCTCAGGTCTCATCCTTTCCCTGGGTTAACAAGTGTTAAAGTGTGAAGAGGGGAAATCTCCGAGGACCTTGACCCTCTGGGCAGGAAGTAAAAGAAACCCCGGAGTCCTGATTTCAGAGAAATGTCATTTGTCATCAACCCAAGGAAAGGAGTTTTTCTCTTCGAAGACCACCACAGACCCTTTCTGGGGTTGCCCCCTTCAGAGATTGATGGGAGGACTTGAGTCACTCACACCCGTCCGCAACGGTGGCCCAGATGACAGGTCATTCCACAGAGCAGTCAAGGCTTCCCAGTACCAGGACAGGCATGCTGTCGGCCCTCCTTCCCCCTCCTTGGAATCAGGTACTTAGTCTGTTTTACTTGAGAGAGTGGCTTCCATCTGCCTGAGCTCTGCTGACACCTCTAAGAAACAAAATTAAGACTATGTGAATGGTGCAGGTTGTGACAAACCACTTTAACAGTCACCAGTTCATCTTGACCCCCCTCCAAATGAGGTAAGCAGAGGTTTACCCTATTTCATGGACGAGGTAAGGGAGGCTCAGAGAGATGACTTGCCCAAGGTGACTCAACCAGTAAATGGCAGAGATGAGACTCAAAGGCAGGTCTGATCAGTCCAAGGTTTTTGTTGCTTCAGATACACTTCTTTGACTCTAGAAGTTCACAGATGAAATAAGAGGATAGGAGGTTAGGAGGCAGAATGCCTGGATTCTGGGATAGAAGGGTGGTCTTTCCTGGAGGGGTGAGTCAGAGCAGGGGTATAAGACCACACCCCGTGGGGGAACTGCGGCAGACTGATACTTGGGACACCCAATGGAAGACTGTGAGGTCAGGGGCGGGGTTACCGGGGTGGGGGGTGGGCAGGAGCCCAAACAGCAGTTCAGAACATGCGGTGTTCAGGAGGAAGCTACAACTGGTGAGTGGTTTCTTCTCCCCAGCTGAGACTTTCCTCCCATTATACTCCTCTTTCTGTCCGCTTCCTGCCAATCTGTAGCCCTCTCCCTGAGGTGCCCAAGTAATAATCCTTCCTCCCACAAGGGTCCTCACCACACCTAGGAATGTTTCCACTGGGCACTGAGACATTTGGGTCTATCTCTTTGTATCTGGGTTCCCAGTTCTCTTCTTAAAAGCCAATGCGGTGGTTTTGATGTGTGATAAATTTCTGTCCTGTTGGGTTCTGTCTTTTTTTATTCTTCACTTTTGGCTTATGAAAAACAAAATTAAACCATCTCCTTATCTTAACCTTGAAACGAAATAGTCTCTCTTCTACAGTTCTCATTTCCCTTCCTCTCACTTCCTCAGGGGTCAAAGTCTTCTCCAAAACCTCTCTCCATCCTTGGGTCAAGAGCCTGGTCTCCGGTGGCTTCTGTACTTGCTCTCTTAACTCACTAGACAGGCATCTTTGGTCTCTCCCAGTTCCTTCTGAGGATGTGTTCTAGATGCTTCAGCCTCAAGATGATCGATTGATGCCTTGGAGCCTGCCCTCCTGCAGCTATGATCCCCATATCGCTGACTTTTCTGCTCCTCAAGACCATTGGCTCCACACAATGGACTTGTGTGGGGACACACTAGCTCTTTAACTCTCCCATGAAGCAGTGTCTTGCTCCGTCCCTAATTGCCAGGACTGACTGGGTCTTGAGGTGATCTCTTTGTGTGGAATGAAGAGAGCCTGGCCTGCTCAGAAGTCTTTCCCTGCAGAGGGGCTCAGAGAAGCAGAAGTGTCAGTGTCTGCTATCCTTTAAGTCAGAGATTGCTAACTGGCAAAATCCATCTATAGAGTCTTAAACCCACTGCTTGATACAGTTGTTAAGTACCTGGTCCTTGCTCTTTAAGTCCTCACTTTGGTCTAATTTCCATTTTCTTTCCACCCAACCCCATGCCCCTGGCCCCTGTTATGGTTCTGGATAAGCTCAAGCCCTCTCTTGGATTAGTTTATTTGCTCAAGATAGAGAGCTCTCATCCAGAACAAGCAACTCACTCTTTCTCCCCTCACCTCCACAGGCTTGGAAATATGCTGTTCCTCCCTCCCCTTTCCACTACGGACCTCACACTGTGGCCTCTGTCTCAGAACTTCTGAGATTGGTATCCAGGCAAGATAAAATGCCCCTGTCCCCAACAAGACTGCCTAGCCCCTACGGCTCTGATCGGCTGGTACGGCTAGCAGCCAGGCTCCGGCCAGCACTATGTGATACCATGATCACAGTGGGGAGCCAGGAGTTCCCTGCCCACAGCCTGGTGCTGGCAGGTGTGAGCCAGCAGCTGGGCCGCAGGGGCCACTGGACTCTGGTGAAAGGAATCAGCCCTTCCACTTTCGCACAACTTCTGTACTTTGTCTATGGAGAGAGTGTTGAGCTGCAACCTGGGGAACTGGGGCCCCTTGAGGAGGCGGCCAGGGCCTTGGGGGTGCAGTCCCTGGAAGAGGCATGCAGGAAGGCTCGAAGAGACAGAGCTGGAGTAGAGTTGAATCAAGAGCTGAAGGAACATCAGGAGAAGCCAGAGAGACCCACAAGGGATTCTGAGAGAGGAGGGGGGGACCTTGGAGAGCAGAGACCAGAGATGTTTATTAGAGCTGGTGGGAGAGAACAGGAGACACTGCCCAAGCACAGGCCACCAAAAGAGAATCCTGAGATAGCAGAGGCAATGCAGGAGGGTCAGAGGGAGCAGATGAAATCAGAGGAGAAACTCAACCAATCCCTTCTTGACCACAGGGGAGTAGATGGGAAACAAGAAGTGATCATGTGGGTGAGGGAGAGTGCAGGGGGCTCTGAGGAAAGTCTAGGGGAGTTGCCTGGCCCCCCACCCCTACCAGGTTCCCTCCAAACCAGCATCACTTCTAGGCCCTGGTGGGCTGAGACCCCTTGGTTGAGGGAGGGCCAGCCTGCCCTGTGGAGCTTCCTGCTATTGCCACACAGATATGGCACTCCCTTCTCCCATAGTACGCCCATCACTGCAGCCTGGCAAGAGGTCTGGCCTCAGGACCAGAGGTGAGTGAAGGGTCTAATGGAAGCCTAGCTGGGAGGGGGAGTGGTTCAGGTGAGGCAGTGGTGATGGGTGGAAGGGTACCACATCTTTTATCTCTATTGTACATTTCCTGAGCTGGAGATAGGACAAGAAGCTCCCAACACAGGGGAAGCCAAAGCCCAGCCCCTGAAAACTAATGACACCTTCCTCTTCAGGATGGGATCGGTCAGGATCCCTAGTTTTGCCAAGTCTGTTACTCTTCCCCATCCCACCCCCAGGATCCCACTGTCCCTTAACCTCCACAAAGGGTTCTGGAGCCAGAATCAGTTGGCCTTCTCTAGCCCTACATCAGGTAAGCCCCTCACTAGCCTGCATGAACCCTGTAATAGGGTCTCCCTGCTGGGGCTGGGGCTGCAGAAGTTCAGCCTGAATAGGGCCCCTACTTCACTCTGCTCCCTCCAGGTTCCCTCCCCCGGGCGCCCACAAAGCTCAGCCCTGGGGAGATGGAAGAATCTGATCAGAGGCACACAGGTGAGTAGGGTGAGGATGCTTTTGCTCCAGTCTCAGTGTAGCCCCTGATGTCTTGCCTGAGTGTTCCAGTGATCTGCCCCTGGGATTCCCAGCTCTGCCCTCCTTTGCCTTCTTTGTCCCCACAGGTGCACTTGCAACCTGTGCAGGTTTTGTGGGCAAAGCAGGCCACCCATCTCGCCAACACCCTCCCCCGCCCCCTCCTGCTCGGTCGAGGCCCTATTCTTGTTCTGTCTGTGGAAAGAGGTTTGCACTCAAGCACCAGATGGAGACACACTACCGAGTCCACACAGGTACAGGCACCTGGCCCAGTGTAAATTGTCTGCTTCTCTCTAAACACTGATCTGCCTGCCCTTAAGTCCCTCTCTGTGTGCCTGGCTCTAACGCAACTCCTTTGTCCAGTTGCCCTGGTCTACCCCTAGGCCAGCCTTCATCCCCTTATCTTCACCAGCCTTCCCCTCCACCCGCCCTAGGAGAGAAGCCCTTCTCCTGTGGCCTCTGTCCCCAACGTTCCCGGGACTTCTCAGCCATGACCAAGCACCTGCGGACACACGGGGCTGCACCCTACCGCTGCTCTCTGTGCGGGGCTGGCTGCCCCAGCCTGGCCTCCATGCAGGCACACATGCGGGGCCACTCGCCCAGCCAGCTCCCGCCGGGATGGACCATTCGCTCCACCTTCCTCTACTCCTCCTCCTCCTCCTCCTCCAGGACATCCCGGGCCTCACCCACCATGTAGGCCCCTTTCCTCCTCCACCTAACGGGGTGTCAGTAGCTTCTTTGGCTGAAACCAAAGAATAAAAGAATTAAAGATGGGCTGGTGGGCTGGCTATGCTTCTGAACCGGCACCCTGGCTTCGGTAGTCTAGCAAATTCGGCTCTAAGAAGCATCGCAAGAAGGGCGCCGAGAGCCCTCCCCCAGATGACTGCGGACTGCAGAAGCCTGGACCAGCGATCTCGTGTAGGGTGAGGGTAGTGAAGTTTGCGCAAGTGCATCTTAACTGTGCGGGGAGTGTTGACTTCCTCACCAAAATAAAGCGTTTTCTGTGCCTTCCTCTCAGGACGAGAAAGCAGAGTCCAGACTTTAGTCTGCGCCGGGGTGGGGGTGCGCGCAGCCTAGCCCCTAGTCCTGTAGCGGCCCCTAGTGGGGGTACATCCGCTGTTCCGCGCGGCGGCCACCTCCTCCATCTCCCTCCCCTCCCCAGGAGGCTGCGAGCCCGGAGGGCTAGGTGATCCCGCTGACTTAGCAGCAAGCCCTGCGGGGGCAGGCTGTAAGTACCCAAGTTACTGCTCCTTCCACAGCAAGCAAAGGCGCACGGAGTCTGAGTCTGGGGACCCCTGGCTAGGGACTCGAGGAGTACGCGTGCTCTGCTGTGCTTTCGACCACGCGCCTCCTCTCCTTGAGGACAGGTGCCGCGGCTTCTGTGGCATCTTTCCTCCACGCTGTGTGGAACGGCGGCCGGGTCGTACCTCAAACTGAGACTAACCCCTGGCCGCCGCCCCTTCTCCAGCCCAAGCCTCCAGCAGGCGTGAACTTCATTTCCCAGTGTCTTCGGGGTTCCCAGGGTAAGGAGCCCCGTGCACCCTGGGAGTCGTAGTTCGGCGGGGCGCTGGCCTTCACTGGAACGATGGGAGGAGTCGGGGGCGAAAACCACACCTCCCGGCGGCTCCCGAGCTAGCTTTCTGGGTCTGATAGGCACCCCACAGACCCAGCTCTCGCGGCCTTAGCTCCCGGCGGAAGAAGCGAGACGCCAGGACTACATTTCCCTGAGGCCCCTGCGCCGCACCCCTCTTCGGCCGCGACGCGGGGTCTATGCTCTTCAGGCGCGGTCTAAGGTGACGGCCGACGGGCCTCGGACTCCCGCTCCCGTGGTGCCCCGCGCGTGGCCGGCCCAGCCCCCGGCT